CAAGTATGACTCATCGTGGCTGAGCCAACACAAGACGACCATCAACGCTTTCGCAAGGTATGTATTTGGGATTTGTCGTTAGCGTTTCTGCATCGCACAGAACTCACACACAAATCATCGTACAGAGACATCATCAACCCCTCGTCTCAAGACCCCTATTTCCCAGTTACTCGATGCCGTGACTGGTTCGCAGGTCACTCGTGGGCATCTGGGATCGCAAACGGGGCAGGGTCACGAGACCAAGAGTCCATTGGAGAGGCTGTCAACGGATACTACGGCGCCCTGCTTTGGGCGAGTGTCGCTCTCTCGCAGGACTTTGTCAACTATGCTAAGTTGCTCGTTGCCACGGAACAGCAAGCTGCGCAGGTATACTGGCATCTGTATCCGAGTCAGAGCTCGACAGCTCGAGACAACCCATATCCTGAAGCCGGAGTCAGGGATCTGATCACCATGGGCAATGTTGAGGACTGGCAATCCGGCGCGTGGCTCTTCTGGGGATCGCAGCGGGTTGAGATTGCTGCTATTCAGATTTTGCCTGTGACGCCGATCAACGAGGTAGGTGACCAGCTCAGTACCAAATCACACATTAGCTATGGATCGCTTCTTGCTAACACGATATTATAATAGGTTATGTATGACACAGAATGGGTCAACAACGTCTGGTCTTACACATCCGGCGAGATGAAGGATCCCACGATTGGAGACGAATGGTATGTTCCCATCATCGGATGAAATCACTCAGCATGTCACATCCTGACTTCGTCACTGCAGGAAAAACGTGATCATCGCAGCCTACTCCAACGCAAACCCACAAACGGCAGCAGCATGGAGCGCCAACATCTCATACTGGGGTAAGCCTCTCAGACACTCACGTCACCCTCCAGTCACACACCTAGGGTTGAATAACACTCCAACAAGCAAAGAACAGTTACTTACAAAGTGATAGGCACCGGAAACACCTACTCCAACGAGCTCTTCTTCATCAGCACGCGTCCAAACCCCTCAGGAACACCAATCTGCAGCGCTCTCCCATCCAATCCCTACGGAAACTACAAAATCCAAGTCGCATCCTCAGGCGCATACGTCGCCGCCTCAGCCTCAAACACCAACCTCGTCGCATCTACCGCCACGACTTCCGCCAGCGCAGCAGTATTCAACAGCGCCTATCGCCCCAACGCAGGGACTCTGAAGTTAAGCAGCACGAACCAATTCGTGACCGCGGACTCGAGCGGCACCTATGCCCTCTCTGCTGCGCGAGCGACGGCCTCGAGCTGGGAGACGTTCATCATTCGGCCGAAGGTCGGCGCTGCAACGGGTGTGTACTCGATTAAGGCGAGTAGCAACGGTTACTACGTTACGGTTGCTAGTGATGGATCGCTGAAGAATAGTGCGGCGAATGAGGCGGATAGCACGGGGTTTACGTTTGTTGCTTCGTAGATCATCGTATGTGCTTAGCACAGCGTGTGATGTTATATATTCTTGTATATACCTTGGATGGTACGAGAATTGCAATATGAGTTAAAGAGAACAACTGATGTCAAAAGAGAGACTGCATGCCCACGTGGCACACGCGTGGCTCGCGAATAAGAACCAGGAAACACCCTGTTCCGCTGAATGATATAATGCGAACTGCCTTATTTGACATCTCACCTGCGCCACGAGAACCCACGTTGTTGAACCATTGGTCAATTGGTGTTCATTCGACGTCTGCCAAGACTCGACTATCTTGGTGAGAATCCCCTCAATCAAGCCCATAACTCGGGTATTAAGATCACGGTCTATTTATCGCAATCTGGTAGTTTACAAACTCTTCCTGAGAAACCCTTTGTATCATGAACATTGTGAACGTACAGGAAAGCACAATCATTGAGCCACTTACCTCGTGGTATACGGTACGCTGCTTAGATCGAGTACTGCGTCGTGGAGAGGCGCCTCCGCGACTTATAAGCCGAGCAATCCTCTTGAATGACCTGTATTAGATTCAACCTTGAAGTAGAGTAGGGTCTTGCTTCTATACAACCCCAAAATGCTGTCGACGTCGCTATTCACATTAATCTCACTGAGTTCAATAACGCTCGCCTGGGAATGGGGCAGCTCAGAGCACGGCTCAACACGGGCCATCAACTACACAACAGTGACAGGCTTCTTCCTGCAAGACGACGTAGCAACAGATCCCTCAACATTCGACTATGTGCGCTCTTATTCCTGCAGCACACAAGCACTAACTAACGGCATTCCAGACAACCGTCAACTACGGACTAATAAACCGCTCCTACCCCACCGACCACGTCTTCGACCCTCACAGCTCAAAAACCCAATGGCAACGCTTCGAGCACTACATAACGCACCTAAACCACCACACAGACGCCAACACGCAATACAAACTCCTCTACCTAGCGCGCCACGGCGAAGGCTACCACAACGCCGCGGAGACCTACTACGGGACCCCAGCCTGGAACGTACGCTCCGCCCTCCCCATCGCCCAAAGTTCAAACTAACACACGCGCAGTGCTACTGGAGCGAGCTAGACGGCAACGGCACAACAACCTGGCGCGACGCCCTCCTGACGCCCACAGGCCTCACGCAGAGCACAAAAGCGCGCACATTCTGGGCCACGGCGCTCAGCACATCCCGAATCCCCGCCCCGCAGTCGTACTACAGCAGTCCACTACTCCGCTCATCCACGACCGCCAATCTAACATTCTCTTCCCTGCCCTTGCCAGAAGACCGCCCCTTCCGCCCGCTCATCAAAGAGCTGCTGCGCGAGGGGATCTCAATGCACACGTGCGACAGCCGATCGACGAAATCCCACATCGGCAGTGTGCTCGGGGGTACCTTCAGGTTCGAGGCAGGATTCACGGAGCATGATTTACTGTGGAAGGGGTACGAGGCAGAGACTGATGAGGCGGCTGTGTTGAGGGCGAGGAGGGTGATGGATGATATCTTCTCTCACGATGAGTCGACGTTCATTAGCATGACGACGCATTCGGGTCAGATACGGTCTGCGCTGGAAGTCCTTGGGCATCGGGCGTTCAGCTTGTCGACTGGTCAGGCGATTCCGGTTTTTGTTAAGGCGGAGAGGGAGAGAGTGAGAGTGCCGACTACGACGATACAGAGTTGGGAGGCTCAGGCTACTTGTACGGCGCCGCCAGTTAGTAGTGATGCTGTGAGTGGGTGTGTTTGCGCTACTGGGAGTGTGACGGGGGCTTTTGCGACTTCTGCTGTGGTATGATTAGGGCTTCTAGAGATGTATTCAGGTATGATTATGAATGACTAATGTGCGCCTGCATGGTTTCAATTGGTTTGTTGAGATACCTATGTCTTTTGACAGTGACACCTTCTCTTCCGATCAACGCCTTCCTTTTCGGGATGCAAGAGCTGAAAACAGCAATAAATACGACAACGCTTTCTAGAATGATTCATACGGGCAGCGCCCTCTGCAAGTCTGTGAGAAGCATTTCTCTCGGAAATTCTTCTTCTTACAACCCATTTTCGGACAACCTCCTCGTTACAGTGCAGTTTCTTTCGGAATGGTAGTATGGGTATAGCCTGAGGCCCAATAGCGACAGACACGTCGACGACGGAAACGATATCGACAGCCATCGGTATCAACTAAGGCTTCTTCTGTGTCTGTGTCTGCGTGCCTCCGCCGCGGGATCTATTCTTCGGTCGTGGTTGCTTCTCATACGCATTCGGACTCGGTCTCCTCCTCGTGCCATCTCCTCGGGCTCTCCTGCTTCCTCCGCCTGGTTGTTCGTGATTGTGTCCATGTTCGCAATTCTCATCGTGATTGTGATCGTCGTTGCGACGCTGTTGGTCTCTCGCTCTGCGTTGGGCTAGCGCTCTCTCGCGCGCATCATACTGGCCGCCACCATTGGAATCTGAGTCTGAGTCGGAAGAGGATGAATCTGATGATGACTCGTCGGAGGATTCGCCTACGGCGCGGGGTGCGTGGTAGATGCAGCAGACTGTGTTACTTGTCAGCACTCAAGTCGTAGTTTGGCCTTCTTGGAGGGTTGGAGCAGACCTTTAGAGCTCTTGCGTCCCAGTCCCTCGTTGTCCACGACATTCTCGGCCCACTGCACGCGATGCTGTGAGTGCTGATGGGCACCTCGTAAGCGCAGAATGGCAGGTGCTGGAGACGCGGGTGCGGCCGTCTCTGTTTGTGTCGCGGAACCTGAAGGGGCTTCGGTGCGTCTCTGGGCTTGCAGGCGCAAACCTGGTGCAGATTGCGTCTGCGCCTGCGGGCGGGCAGACATGGTGGGATAAGAGGGAGCGTGGATGAAGTCGAAACGGGAGAGTTGGATTGCCTGTGTCGAGCAGGAAGGTCGGAGAAGAGAGTCAATAGTGGATTGAGAGGCGCGGAAGAGTGATGGAGGCGGGAGGTGCTGAGATCGTGGGCCGATTGCCTTTGTGTCCAGATGTTGTCAAAACTTTGGAAAACGACCCCTCGGCACCTGCAGACGCGTTAAGTGGCACGCGATGAAAGCCGCGGGACACACAACCTTGAGATGACGTCAGTCTTAAGAGGAACCTAGGTACCCAACATAGGGTAGACACTGCCGCCAACAGTCAACAATCAAACTAACAGCTGGACGGGGGAGCTGTTGGCGACACAGACGGGAGAACAATGCGATGTCATTGTCCAAGTGGTGGCGACCATGTAACCATTTCTAAGCGATCTGTTGGAGGCACTGGGGGCACACGTGCAAACGGGGAAGAAACTCATACTGTAGGTATTTGGGCCTATGCGAATTATGCGCTTAGGCGAAAACTCAATTCTGACAGCACGCTTTCGCAATTGAAACCATTGAAACATCCCGAGGTCACCAGACTTGAGAAAAACGAGAATTTACTAGCAGGTATGTTCACAAGTAGCAAGAGATCCACACCAAATAATCCAAGGTAAAAAATCCATAAGTGAGGAGACACACAGAGTGGTTTCAGGCATGATGAAAAAATATCCCAAACGAGAAAAAATGAATCCGAATGTAGAGAATTGAACTCGACCAGATTTGAACTGATGACCTTGTGGATTCAGACCGGAGAACCGAAGTCCTCGTTGCTGGAATCACACGCGCTACCGCTGCGCCACAAGTCCCGGATTTGTTGAAAAATGGGCATCGTAAAGGGTCCTATCAAGTCGCCACCGCGCACGGGCCATCGTCTCCTTTAGAAATCCATAGGGGCGCTTTGTGTACCCTGCAAGTGAACGAGTGCTTTCATTGGGTAACGAAGCTCCTCGTAAACTCTACATTATAGGCATGTATTACCTTTCTACCAACGTAACGAATTATCTTATCAACCTTACTTCGTCTGTCCTTTGATGCACTGCCGTTGAGATTGTGTCTTTGACTGGGCAGTGAGTTCCGGTCCAACAACCAACGTGAGAAATTCGCTGACAATTTCAGCCTTTCTATCTACTAACTTATTATACCACGGTATAGGTGACACATTCACATAGTACGATAAGAAAACAACACACAAATCAAATCGTCAACTAAGCTTCCTGTTGATAAGACTGCCGTTGCTGCGACGTTAGCAATTGTCTCAGGCTACAGTCATTCATTGCTAAGGTCCACGATTCACTATTATGTGTGCAATATAGACTAAGAGCTGTTTAGGATAAAAAAGTTGCTCAATCATTATAAAGCAGACTTAGCAACTGATCGCTATGAATAATATTACCATGATAAGTCACTGCTGTATCAACAGCAATCGGGAACTTCAGCCACCTAATACCAAACCCAGTCTCTCCAACAGACCCAATACCCAGATCCCGGATAACCTGCTCAGTACTCTCAACATCACAAAACTGCGCCTTCAGACTAGCACCATGAAGAGCATGAACAGTCTCCACACCATGCTCCTTGCCCTGCCACTTGACATCAAAAGTAGCCATCGCATCCTCCACAACAACAATCTTGCCCTTGTCATCAGCACGAGCTTCCTCCGTCTTACATCCATATGCACGCTCAACGACTCGCAATTAGACGCCGTGTGCACAATAAGCCGTCATAAGCCCAACGATGACCAGCTTCATGATACTCCATCCCTTGCCACGAACGCGATGTCATGCTCGATGAAAGGCGAGTTGGTGCTCTTGGAGAAGAAGCGCTCGGAGGCCAGCGGCTTGGCGTAGTGCAGAAGGGAGCCGGTGGTATTTGGACTTGTGGAATACGTGGATTATGCGGGCGTTTTCTGCAGTGCGGACGGTTTGGAGGAGTTTGGCAATGCTGGTCTCAAACTCGGGAGTGGATCGTGAGCTTCCCTAGTAGATTGGGTTGTTGCAGCCTTGTTGGATGTCGATGAGGAGGTGTGCAGTCTTCTCGGGTGGTGCCGGAATAGCCATGTTGTACTGTTAAAACGACGAATGGCGATCGGAAAAGCCGTTATCTCTAGCTAGGTGAATGAGTACTGGCCTCTTGATGGGATAGGTGTTGAATAGTCTTCAGCCTGATTGTCGCAGACAATTCTGTCCCCCATTTTATGAATATTTTGGGAGTGTTAATTTAGATCGCTGATCTGAAGCTTAGCCGATGGGGACAGATAGTAGAAAGTGACGAATAGCATCGTGACTGTTGCAGTGAAGGAAACTCACGATTCAGTTGAGTATGTGGCCAAGATGATGATCACAACTGTTCGACAGATAGTTCTCGCTGAGTATCAGACGGACGAATGCCATAGAGTCCCTGACCGATGATACGAGTAGCTATGTTGAAGCCGACAGCGAGTACGAGTTATGCGAAGTATAACAAGAGCCATCATTGTTGGACGTAATGTCGAGAAATCCCAGAGAAACTCGTTTCGTAGCATGTTGCCCCGACTTCAGTTGGCGTAAAGTCTCTCATACTAGACAAAGTGGACTACGCCGTGCCACATGGGTAACGTCTTTCATGATGCTGCTGTCGGCTAGCCGCAAGGCGTTATACGATACTAAGCAAGCCTCAATCTTCGAGAGCAAAGTACTTTCGTCTTGTTGGGTCTGATTTAAGGCCCGGGAGTACATATGCCCTAGACTTTCTTTGAAATTAGCCAAATACAAACGTACTGCAAGAGCTCCAGAGGGTGAGATTTTGCCGTGCTCAAAGTGGTTCTGATTCCGAGGATTAAGTATCATCCTGTCGCGGCTGGGTTTCCATCCGATCTCATCCACAGAAAAGCCAAGGAAATGATAAGCTGGGTCTCTCATGTAGTCGTCTAGATGATGTGAAATCAGTTCGTGGGACAGCAGGGTGTTAAGCTCTGCCTCTGTTCGAGCATCAACTTTATGATCTATGACATTTTCGCCGTCCATGGAGCCGAATAGGAAGCACCCTCCAATGACAAGACACTTGCGACTATCATTTCCTAGACTCTGCGGCTCTATACTCCGAAGTGCGACAGGGACACTAGAACCAGGGAGAATGAAGACGTCGTCTCCGGCTTTCAGGCCCATTGGACCCCAGCCCCATCGCCAGCCCTGGCCGCCGAGGTTGATGCTGAACTGTCGTTGTTTATAAGACATCAGTTTAAGAACGGATGCGAACCCAAGTGGATCTGAGATGGAATCTTCCCCGCTGCGCTGAGAATGCAAATGCAGTCCGCACCATTCTCTCAAAGAATCAAGATCGTTTTCTTTGAGCCGCTGAAGTCTGCCAGACACAAATTTGAGGTCAAACACAAAGGCCCTGAGTTTCTGTATTGTCACACGATGATTACGACGCAGACGTGGCTTTCCGGGAGATACACCCTCCGGCTGCCAGTCATCTGCATCGAGCCAGAAAAGAACGTCTTTTGGACAAGCATCGCCAAAGTATAGTTTCGATGTATTTGAAACCTTTCCTCGCCAAATACCTTCGATCCAAAGATGGGAAGAGAGTCCGTAAGGACGCCTTGCACGATTATTCAGGCACCCTATGATAAGAGCCATATGTTCTTTTCCCGGTAGATGTTCGAGGTTAGAACCCAACGTGGTGCCATTGAAGCGATCGGCTAAACATTCAGATGCCGGATAGTCATGCGACCAGCACTTGAACTTCCAGTCGCCACAGGCGTTATAATGCTCTATTGCAGGTGCTTGGACAGCAGTCAGATTGTCCACAGGGGAGCTCCAGTCGGGAAGCCAAGACGGAAGCCCAAGCTGAATCTTGCGACCTGAGTCGTCAATTAGACCGTTGAAACCTCGGATGCAGCTTATGATAGATCGCGCAACCGCGGTGTATGCTTGACCGGTACTGACACTGTAATCTGGAATGAGGCTGAGATCCCCCACAAGCCCAATGAGAGCATAGACTTTGTCTTTATCATCAGACGCTTTCCGATGCGCTGTGGCGCGTAGCATCGCCAGGAAATTGCGCGCAGCTAACTCCTTATTACGTGCGCGTGTCACTTTTATATCAATTCTCCATTCGGCCCTTCGAGTATGAATGTCCTGGATTTGCCGGGCGAACTGATCCAATACTCGCTGGTCCTGCTCGTGAATTGACGTTACTCGGTTTTTGGGTAACGATCGCCATTTGCTAGCATCAACAAGAACGGCCCATGGAATGGATGCGTGTCCGTACATCACCACAAGTTCTCTCGCGAGGATGGCTTCCTGGTAAACCCACATACGTGACCACCAAGGACTCATAAGCATCAACCGGAGCCCCTCGATTAGCCAAACCGTTCGTTGCTGGCCAATAGACTGCACAAAGCTGCCTAAGCTCACCGGATCGTCCGAACCAAGGTGGGCAATCAACGAGAAGATATCCGACGCACTTGTCGGACTGATAGCATCGATGCTTGGATTGATAGTGGGTTTTCCTTTCGGACCCTGAGTCTTGGCATATATGGCAGAATTTGACGCAGAGGTGGATTGACATCGATGCATCTCATCGCCGAGAAAGACAATTACCAAAGCAGCTCGCGAATATATATCTCGCATTCTCTCTACCTGAGAACTCCTCTCTGAAAGGTCATTCTGATTGATACACTAGATGAATTAGTAATCTCAAACTAATTCAGGACCGAGATGGTGTTAATAAGTGCTCACAAGGGCGTCTACCCATAACTCACTGCTACTTCCCCTTTCGCGTATATGCCGCAATGCGCTTTCGAGATTTTTCCCGACCCGGACTTCATAGCCGTTCACTGTGATAGGTCTTGACGCGGCCTGTACACCCCAAACATAGGAGAGAGCCTCATAAGATGATGCCGAATGGAGACGTTCTTGCCTCAGACTACAGAATATTGTGTCCTCCCATTCCCCAGACTCGATCGTAATCAATCGAAAGGATTCCTTCCTCAGGAAATCTCCGTATGGAGTGTCCTGAGCTGTGTCGCCCAACATGACGGGTAAGTGAAGAGATAATGTCAAGTGCACCGAAGATCAACAAGCGGCAGCGCCTCCGTGAGAATTGTGCACATAGAGAGTGGGTTTATCTCGATTGATTGGTATGAGAGATCTACACTGCGAGAGAGTCAAACGGCCAAGAAGCCATGCGTCGATGATAAAATGGCGAAAATCAGGGAGAACGACTTGGACTGCGCCACGCTAGGCAGATAAAACGCCTGGTCAGACTTCCGCCTCACTCTGATGCAAGACCCATGTTTGTGCCACTCACCCCGCAGCTGAGCACCCCGTCAGATGCGACTCAAGATCACTGGGCTACAGTAACTCGGCTAGGTATGCTGCATATGTGGAGTCGTACATGTTGCATTGAAGTGGTGACAGGCAGATTCGCCATTCGGTACCCAATCCGGTTGATAGAGGGAGAACCCGGTTGACAAAGCCCGAAAACAACCGATAGTCGAAGGTGAAGGTGTCCCTGTTGTACACCACAACGCTGGGAATTGTGTTGGCGTTGCATCACCAGTAATCGCAATGTCGCCTAACTCGGATATAAGATGTCGTCAACGACGATTGAAGGCGCAATGACCCCGTAAAGACAAATAAGAGCAGCCAGAACTCGTGAAGCCCAAATATTGCTGACTTTGAACATATGAAGAGCCTTGGCAACTTCTGTAAGCCGCTATTTGAGCCACGCAGTATCGAAAAGAACGGTGGTACGACAGTTGTACGAGTATTTCTCGAAGTCGGAAAGACGCGATTATACAAGTACAAGCCGCGGTACGAAC